AAGCCCGAAAGCTTGCAGAAAAAGATTTTTTGTGGTGGGGGCAGCGATTTCTTAGTTGGTCTAATAAAAGGTATCATCTCTGAACCAAGAGTTCTAGATTTTTGCGTTTCTTTTTGTCTCCAACCAAAACAGCTACCAAATGCATCCCAGTAAGTTCACAGCACTCAGCAGCTAACGCTGCCACCAAACTCCCTCATAACCATTGCAATGATAGGGAGAGACTCTTGAAAACCTTCTTTTTCTATTTATTTTTTTAATTTTACTCCACCATCCCTTCCCAGCCATCTTTGGGTGGGAGTGGAATCAAAGTGTTTCCTGTCTTTCCTTCTATTTTTAGATGTTGTCCTGTTTGAGCTCAGCTCTGCTTGTCCATGCAAAGTACTTATAAAACACAGCTTGCTATAGCGTCTAAGCATGCAGAGAGGCAATGAGGCCTAGAAGACGGGACCCACAGACCAAGGTGTTAGACTTGGATTTGTTCGCAGTTCTCCCATAGGCCTGCAGTGTGACCTTTCACCTCTCTGAGCCTTGTTTCCACTAGCTGCACAATGTGGAGTAGGGGGACTGGACCCGATGCAAGGTCCCTTCCAGCCCTAAACTTCTGTGAATCTATGATAAGAGCAGTGATCTTTGCAGTCTGAGTTGGTTAGATCGGGGCCTTGCAACTCCTATAATGCGCCAAAAGGCACATGCACAAAATGACTATGGGGAGATGTTTTGGGTGCTTCATTCTGGGCCATTCTCCAGTAAGCAGTAGTAAGCTCGCTAAACTTGATGTGGCAACAAGCTTTTGGTGTCTTTTCAGAAACACCCTGCCCCATACCCTCATGAACAAGTGAAAGAGAGGGTAGGAGATGCACTGATCCAGGGCAGCAGAGTCATTCCTGCATGACTTAATTGTGCTGACTGCTAGCAGATGGTAGCAGTGAGACTGGGTAGCTTCTGCTTAACGAGATATCAAATCTCAATTCATGTATCAAACCCACAAGTCCTACAGCAGCCGTGTTGGTGGGTTTGAGTTAATCTGAACATGAATGACTGGAATAGGTGTATTGATGCTGAAAACCTCAAAGTGTTACCTCTTAGCCTTCCAGTCAAGATCAAGTGTTTTGAAATGCGTATCGTCTGTTGGAGGACTGTATCCTGCCCTGACAGGGCATAGACTGAATGATCTAACAGGCCTTTTCCATCTCTAACCGCTATGATTAAGAGTGTTGGTTTTGACTTCGGTTCAGGCCGGACCCCTGGAGTGTTTCTCTAATAGGTTCTCACCAAAAGAAAGGGAAATATTTTCTCTCTCACTTTCTAGGGCTGCAGAAGAATTTCATTGCAAATGAACGCAGGAAGGGGCACAGGTGCCTTGTTAACTCGGAATTGCTTTTTGTTTGCGCTGTTTGATAGATGTTCTTTTTCTTTATGTTGCAGAAATTGGATTTGCTTTTGATGAGGCTCTGTCTTGTCACTTTTCCAGCAACCCCTCCCCCCAAAAAAGTCTCCTGATTTTTCTATAAAGGGTTGGAGCTTCAAATCCCAATCTTTTATTTTATAACCTTTTTGGCTTTTTTCCTTTGTATAGATTTCGGCTTCTTGTGCTGCTCAGTGGTACCGTCTCGAAGAGGTAGTTTTATTGATTGCATCTATGCGCTTTAAAAGCATGGGTTTTCTCCCCCTCCAATAACTAGCAGCAAACAGCCATTTTACATAGTGGTCTTGGCTTTTAAAACGAGTGATACAGAAACAAACTTCTTAAATGCTTCTGCTTTCAATGAAAGTCGCTGTTTTATTTAAATAGCTTTAATAAAGTGCACCTTGTGTGAGCATCTCTTGTCATCTAAACAGCTGTGTGCGCTCCTGGATTATTCTAGGTGGGCTTCGTGACTGCTTTCATTCCTGCTTGCTTTGCATAATTTAAGAAAGAAAACATCTTGGCAATCTTCCATGTGCAGACATGTCTTTAGACATTGAGATCCATGCTAATGGATTGATCTTGGATCCTCCATGAAGTCTGGGGAAAGGTTCAGGTATTAGACTGTCACTAGGAAAGGAAATGGGGATGCAGCTCCTTTCCTGAACAGCTTCAGTGCGTGCTAATTTGACATGGCCCTGGCGTGTGGCTTGTAAGGTGCTCAGACACTGAACGAGCACAGTTCTTGATGCGTTTTTGGGTTTACAAATGTTTTCACTTCTTTATTTTTATCCATAATAAGAGGTACAACTAAAAATCTTGTCTGAACAGTTCTGGTAAAAATAGTCCGGTGCAACTGTAGTTGGGATATACTGAAGTAGCACGTTGATCTGCCAGACAGAAGTTTGGTGAGAACTTGCACCTTGGAAATTGAGGTCACGTAAGGAAATTTTTTTAATTGACCCAAACCATTGACCCTCTTTCCTTCCCCTCTTCCCTTCCTTTGCGCCCCCCCCCCCCCCCCCCCCCTCACTTCTCTATTTCCCTTACAGT